CACATTTTTGTGAAAAAATCTCGAAATTTCAATGAGAATATTTTCACGTTTCTATTGAGATTTTCTCATTGCTACATTTAGATATATTTTTGTTTGACCAAAAAAACTTGATGAGAAAATCTCATGAAAACTTTTCATGAAAACATTTGGTGAAATAGGCTACAGGAATTGTTCAAAATGCGTCAATTGGTGGTACGTTCTTTCAAATCTACGTTCACACTTCAAATATTGCTTATGTATTTTTCGTACGTTACATGACCCTAGGAGAAAATGCATTTAAAAACTAATAGTGCTTGCTCTAAACTATATACGTTCGATCTTTCTAGATGGTCGTGACCAAGAAGCATAAGTTAACGACGTGAATGAATCGGCTCTCGTAGTTGAAAACGCTGAAGGCGAAACAGAAGTCGAAAGCATTGTGGATCGTTCGGGTATTGTCCAAAATGTACTCGATATGTCAATTGACGGTATGAATTTTCAAACTCTTCTTGAAATTTCAGTCTTTTTTCTATGAATTTTTCAATCGTACAATTCGATTAAATTGTTTCAGATGGCCATGACCAGAAAGAAGAAGAAGTTGTCGACAAGGATGGATCGGATGTTATGGTTGCAAATGCTGAAGCTGAAGCATCTGTCGATAATGTTGAGGGCCGTTCTCCATCAAACGGTAATTAATTCTTCATTTAACAAAAAAATAAAGCAAAACAGAAATCATTTTTTCGGCTTAGTTGCGAATTATTTGTACTCAATAAATTTTGATATTTGTTGTATCCATTTCAGATGGACCCAATGAAGGTGTTTTGTCATATGCCATAGCTAACGATGGCGAACTGGCCAACTCGAACGATTCGGCTCACGGAAGCGCTAATGAGCCAAATTTGGCAAATGAAGAACAAGATGAAGTCGTAATTGTCCAAGCATACTATGATTTGTGCAACAGTTCAGATGAAGAGGATCTGAAGCCATTCGTTCAAGCGCAAAGTTTAGTACCGATTCCCTCGCCCATCAGCCTTGAAGCCAATGTTAAGACCGAACCACCAAACAATGATTCGACAAACGCTTCAGCCATTCGTTCAGATGAAGAGGAAGTTAAGCCATTCGTTCAAGCACAAGGTTTGTTATCGGTTCCATCGCCCATTAAGGTCCAAGCACTAGCCAAGTTCGAACCAGCTGACAACGTTTCGGCAGATAATTCAACCACCCAATCAAACGATGCTATGAATCCCCATGGCGAAGAGTATTTTGGTGATACATCCTCTTCGTCGTCTGATTTTTACTCTACGCCTGATCGGACCGAAGATCTCAAGCGTCTATACCACACTCGTCGTCGCCTTAAATTCTGATTTATTTTTGAATTTGTTTTGACAGGTCATACGGCTTGTCATTGAATCAAAACAGAAAAAAACAAATGTCAAATCTGTTATTATGTATAACACATTATATTATAGCAGCAGAATTCAATGAACATCAACATTTCTATACACATTTTCTTTAAAATGAAACTAATGTCATTAACACTATGACTGTTCTTCATATTTGCAACATATTACTGTTCTTGGGGGACTCCAGGGCCCCCAAGATACTTCATATGAAATCTGGACTGTGATAAGAGATAACAAATTAGTGTCTGAAGCAAAGTTGTAATACTCAAAGTTTGCTATAATTTTGGTGCAACAAATATTGCTTATCTCTTATCAGTTCCGCGAAAAACGTGAAAAAACGCGAAAATCGCAAAATTTTCCCACATCGTTTTAGTGAAGCCGATAAGAAGTAAGAGACTTACCTCTTCAACAGAAATGTAGAGCAGGTCGAGTACTACAACTTTGCCACAGACACCAAGTCGTTATCTCTTATCAGTTTCGCGAAAAATGATTATCAAGAACTCGCGTTTTTCGCGTAACTGATAAGAGATAACGACTTGATGTCTATGGTGAAGTTGTAGTACTCAAGCTGCTCTACAACTTTGCCGAAAATACCAAGTCGTTATCTTTTATCAGTTTCGCGGAAGTCGAAAGCATTATCATTTATTATCTTATCATTTTTCACGGAACTGATAAGAGATAACGAGATGGTGTCTAAAGCAAAGTTGTAGCTCTGGTCGAGTACTATAATTTGCCGCAGACGTCAAGTCGTTATCTCGTATCAGTTACGCGAAAAAATGATAAGAAAACATTCGCGTTTTTCACGGTTTTCTGCGGTTTTTCGCATATTCCGCGAAACTGATAAGAAATAACGAGATGGTGTCTATACCAAAGTTGTAAAGCAGCTTAAGTACTACAAATTCGCTGCAGCATCAAGTCGTTATCTCTTATCAGTTACGCGAAAGGCCGCGAAAACCGTGAAAAACGCGAATTTTTTCTTATCATTTTTTCGCGTAACTGATAATAGATAACGACTTAGTGTCTGTAGTGAAGTTGTAGTACTTGACCAGAACTACAACTTTGCCAAAAACACTATTTCGTTATCTTTTATCAGTTTTGCGGAATACGCGAGAAACCGCAGAAAACCGTGAAAAACGCGAATTTTTTCTTATCATTTTTTCTCGTAACTGATAATAGATAACGACTTGGTATCTGTGCTAAATAGATGGTTGCAGTACTCGACCAGAGCTACAACTTTGCCATAGACACCATCTCGTTATCTCTTATCAGTTCCTTGAAAAGTGAGAAACTATGAATTCGCGTTTTTCAGGTTTTCGCGGCTTTTCGCGAAACTGATAAGAGATAACGACTTGATGTCTACGGCGAAGTTGTAGTACATAAACTAGTCTACAACACTGCTACAGACACCAAGTCGATATCTCTTATCATAGTCCAGTTATAATATAAAATAGCCATGGGGCCCTGGAGTCCCCCAAGAACAACAGCGTAACATGTTTTGCGGCAGGCTGTATTTTACACATACTCACACATATGCATATGTTTTTTTTTTCATTCGTGTAGAGAAATGTTCAATTTATACAATGAGACTTAACTCCGGTTGGTTTATACACTGTTTAGTACTTTTATTTAACTTTAAAGTTCGCTGGGGGCCCTGGGTGCCCCAAGAACAATCATAGTGTTAAATAAAAACAATAATAATCATATTTTTCACGATAATATATCGAAACAGTTTGAAGAAAAATAAAAAAAGTTATGAAGAAAATCCAACGAGAAACAAAATGTTTGTTGTTATTCATTTCGGTTCATTCTAGTTCATTCTTCATGGTATAGAATTATAACACTCACACAAACACGGATATATATATAGTGTGAGAAGCGTGGAGTAGTATGGAGTGATTCAATATACAACACAGGCGCAAGTCAGTGCGACTTGCGCTTGTATTGTATAATACTATGTGTTATTCCATATAACTCCGTGCTTCTCCACGCTTCTCCACATTTCTCCAGAAATGAAACATATGGGTTTACAGCAAACAACGATGGCTCTGATGATACGTTCGTCGCACGGTCGTCCGTATGCGTCTATGCTTTGCATATCTATACAGTATAGAATATCTAGGTAAACATATTTCTATGCCCGAACCGATGCTTGAGTAAATTCCATTTCCATAACGTCGTACAAATAACAAATATTGAATTGAATTTTGATTCTATAAATGCTGATTGTTCAATAATTTCTTTAACGCTTGCAACTTTTTATGTCATTATTATTTGCATTCATGTTCTTGATTTCCTCTTATATCGTTCTAAAATTTTGGTCACACACATAAATTAAAAAAAAAACATAACAAGTCAGGGTAAAACAAATGAAATAATTTAAATCATATTTGAGTGTGAATCTTCAAAGTAGAGTGAAACTGGATACTGGAGATTTTGCATTGACGTTTCCGACTGTAAACATGACATCAATTCATATGCGTGTGCTGTCAAAGTCACTTTGTCATGCGTCATTTACATTAATGCTTTGACTGATTATAGTGAACAGTGGTGAGATTGGAAACGCCATACATTTTATATACATTATTTGCTTGGGAATTATATTCATTTATTTTCTTTTATTGTTGATATTCGGGCTCTGCAAAGCCTAAGCTTCATCCACGATTTGTTTTTCAAAGAAATATTTCGAAAAAATCGTGAGTTTGCACTGTCAACACTTGTGTGGTTTTTCATATGATTTTGAAGTCATCGAATATTGCCATTCGTTCACACATTCAATGAACTTGCTACACCAAGTGATAGTTGAGTTCATTGCTGACGCTTTTCAATCCGCCATACGTTTTTATGTGTGTGTGTACACCAAAATGTCAAAGTTGTCAAGAATGCAACCGTTCTCCTCGTTCTTTAGTTTGAATTAAAAAATTTTAATTTGAAAGTTACTAAAAACAAACAATATACCTAGTTAAAAAAACAGTAAAAGAAGAATGTTCATCAATCCGATAACATCATCGGAATTTGATTGAATTCAAATGTTTTCGAAAAAGAATAATGGAAAGGTTGACAACAATCAAACGTTTCTTAAAAAATTCACATTTTACACAATAGCTACCAATTTTGTAAATTAAATTCGGGATAAATCTATTTTGAAATTTGTAAAAAGTTCTTCCCATATAAAAGAACTAGGGAAATAATCGGAAGTGTTGTCCGAGGACGGACAACGTCTTCGTTGTGGAGGAGGATGTAGTGGACCACTACTAGTGGTTAAGTTGCTATGTAAAATGAAATGTATGTAAATCCGACTAGGCGCACACCTGCATACGAATTCGTATGCAGTAGTGTGCGCCTGGCGACTAGGGAACGCCAAAATAAACCGTTGCACGCGTATGTCACACATACGCGACGCATACGGTTTGGCACCGCATTATAATTTAAGTTGAATAAACCATTTTAGTCTTTATTTTACATTCCTACACTTTGTGTATTACTAAAGGCTAAGATAATGCTGGCTAACGAAAAACCATTACTAGCCAGCACTTACACGATAAGGTGTGATTCAACTGCACATCGGTTTTTTCGGCCTAAGTACACATACTGAGAGCCTAAGTACACATAGGTTACACATTACATGATTGCTGTGCTCAGGAATGGTGTCACGAGATTTTATGAGAAGTATTCAAAATTACCTTTGAGAGCAGCTGAATGAAGAGGTGTCGCATGGAAATCATCCTCACTATCAACAATGGCTCCTTTACGGATGAGAAGTTCAGCAACATTCTTGTGACCTGAAAAATAACACAGATCGATGGAAAAAGAGATCAAATCAATCTTTTATTCAATGAAAATCAATATTCAACATTACCATTGTTAGCGGCATAATGAAGAGGTGTCACCTTCAAATTACTTTCAATATTAACTTCGGCTCCTTGATCGATGAGTTTTTGAGCTTCCTTCACATTACCTGAAAAATAATGCAGACCAATGAAGTAGATTGAACAAAGCATTTTTTTTTAAAAACATAAATACTCGAAATTACCAGTCTCAGCAGCTCTATGCAGGGCTGTCTTTCCTTTTATGTCTTTTTCGTTTACTAAATGTTGAAAAATAGAAGATCAGTGAAGTGAATCGGAAGAAAATGTTGCGTAAATGTTGGAGCTCCATTCTTACCGTTTCTCCCCGATGGTGCTCCACTCACATCCACGATCAGGAACTGTGGAAATGAAACAAAGTGATTAAATTGGAATGGAACAATGGATGAGATTGTAATGGTTTTCAACTGTTTTTTATTCGATTTTTGTAGTGGAAGATTTTTTTCAATTGAAAAGATTTGAAATGGACATTTTATCATTAATGAAATGAGTTTCGGAAAAATTATCACAAATTGTCCACAAAAAGAATCGATTCAAAATTTACAAGTGAAAAAAATTCCGAACAACATTAACCTTCAAACCGTGAAACCTATTTTATAACGTTGTTCGTGAAACTGGTGCCTGAGTGCCCCAAGTGCATTTTTGTATGAAAACTAGAGTGTGATAAGAGATAAACGATTTGTGTCTTGAGCAAAGTTATAGAGCATTTCAAGCAATAAAATATTCTTGCAAACGCTATTCCGTTATCTCTTATCAGTTCCGCGAAAAACCGCCAAAAACGCGAAAAACGCGAGATTTTCCATATCATTTTTTACAGAACTGATAAGAGATAAGAGATATTTGTCTTGAGCAAAGTTGTAGAACAGGTTGAGTTCTACAACATTCTAGAAGAAACCAACTTGTTATCTCTTATCAGTTACGCGAAAAATGACAAGTAAAAAACCCGTATTTTTCGCGGTCATCTGCGGTTTTTCGCGTATTTTGCGCAACTGATAAGAGATGAGAGATATCTGTCTGGGACAAAATTGTAGAACGGGACAAGTACTACAATATTTTTGAAGATTTTATCTCCTTATCTCTTATCAATTATGCGGAAAACCGCAAAAAACGCGATTTTTATGTTATCATTTTTCGCGTAACTGATAAGAGATAACAAGTTGAAGTCTTCGGGAATGTTGTAGAACTCAACCTGTTCTAAAACTTTGCTGAAGACAGATATCTCTTATCTCTTATCAGTCCATTAAAAAATTAGATACAAAAATTACGCGTCTTCCGCGTTTTTGCATATTTCGCGGAACTTTGCTCAAGACACAAATCTTTTGTCTCTTATCACACTCTAGTTTTCATACAAAAATGCACTTTGGGCACTCGGGCACCCGATTCACGTATAGCACATCGCACATACTTATGCACATATGTGATGACGTAGTATGCGTATGTGAGTATGTTAGCGCAATTCATGTAGTCAAATGTTTAACTAATCGAACCATCTTTGTGTAAATCATTTATGATGAGAAATGATAAAGATATAAGTGTTTAAAGTTGGTCTTGGGCACTCAGTGCCCGATTCACGGTTCTAAGGTTAAAATTAAAAATTTCAGACTAAAATTGTCGTCTCACCTCCAATGCCACCAAGGCAACGAGCAGCAGGGTGAAAGATCTTTGACGCAGCATTTTTCCAGCTTCGAACTATCAAAGTGTACTGTAAACGTGTCAATTGAAGAAATTGACGAACTGTTTGATTGACAAACGAATCGAGCGCATCTGCTTATATACTTTTCAAGTATGGTCACATCAGCAATACATTAATGGTATAATTCAATCCACATACAAAGACAATTCTAATTAGAGCTCACAAAATATTATCGCACACATTTTTCGAGAAAACAATGTCAAACAATTGATGGAATTACAATTCCACCTGTGCACGTGTGCAGAATTTTGCGTTCCTTATCAAATGGATCGCAT